TTGAAACTTGTAAGTGATCCATGTTCTTGATCATTACTCCTACACTCATGTGAGGTAATTACTTCCAACCTCTTCATGTGGGAAGTAGCTCTGATTATATATATATTAAAGATACAACTCAATACCACTTCTTGAAGATATCACAATGTAAGAAATAAAATCATTCTGAACTCATTTTGAGATACACTCAAATGGATACACTGAGAGGAGATCTGAACAGCTTGGTAAGTATTTTTTCAGAGTCTCTTTGGGTTCACATCTCACACCTTTGGTATATATTCAGTTATTCAGTGATGTATGAAGTACAACAATGTTTTATATAGAACCCATGTTTTTCTCACTTGACTTCCTCAGTTGGGCAATGTATGTCCAGTTCAGGACCCAAGAGAGGACTAAGTCTAGATAGTATACCATTGCCAACCAGTTGTCATACCTACCCCAACAAGACTGTGTTTTGGTTTCTCTCACAAGTAAAGGTAAGCTGGGATAATGTCATATGTTCCAAAAGATGCCTTGGGCCAAGGCTATTGATTACATATATTCCTGGTCATGTATCATGTCAAATCCCAAGAAATCTATATGTAAATACCTCACCCAGAATGGTATGAAATTTTGATATCACACCTCATTTATTTATCAGATTGTGTCTCAAATCAACAGGCAGTGCTTTCAAAAAAATATTTTGTAGACTTTTCTTATTTCCTTTTCAGTAACCAAATGTTGTCTGTTGTCAACTAGCCTGTGACCGTGAGTTTCACTCTAGGTTGTTAGTAATTAACACATAGTATGTCAGAGAAAAGGCACATTGACATAACTTGAGGGAAAACCTTTTTGCAGAGTAATTGGCCTGGAGGTATTTTGGAGGTTGCAAATAAAACTAAAAGGTAAAGAATGTACATATGTACATAGCATACATACATACTTAAAAACTCATTAGAACCCATAAGCTTATGGGCAAAGCCTTCAATTGAGAGCACCCAATACCAACATGCCAAGTAAAACCAAGAAAGAAATTTCTGAAGAGGAAGCACAAAAAAGAGATACCTGTAAGTTTTAAATGGATAGAGGACATGATTGTATGTATGATATGAAGATTTGGTTTTAAACTCTTTGGTGTTTCCTTCTATAAGGATAGATGGTAAGAGAACTTTTGTCAAGGATTAGACGGGCGGGTTCATGTTACTTACTTTTTTTCTAATAATTGTAAGAAGTTTGTAAACAAAAACAGAAAGGATTGATTATATTTGCAGCTGGAGTGTTTGGGAGAAGTCATTGAAGATCAAAGAAAATGACCATACAATTAGGAAGATGATAAAAAATGATGTCATTCAAAGCATCTTAAAAATGGTGTACAAAGAAAAAACCATATGAGATAAAATAAGTGATATGTGTATGTAGGATACATACTTGGTTGAAGTGTTTGGTTTGAAAAACAGATTTGAAACTTGAGAAATCATAGTAAAATATTAAAAGTGTATTATTTTGCAGTTTTTTTTAAATAAGTTATGTGTGTTACCATTTTTCCACACATTGTACAAACATGAAGACTGATTTGAGTATGAATACTTCCCAGATTCATTGGCAATACCAGAAGTAAGAGGTATAGCAGGTTCATCAAATCAAAATCAAAATCAAGGTAGAAAAATTTGTGGAAGTAAATTATTAGTCAGTGACAGTATTCTTCATTTTTATAGAAAAGATTAATATTAGAAAACTAATTTTGTTGATTTTTTTGTTTTGATTGATAGTATTAAAAAACTGTTATAATCCTTATCCATCTACATCAACATCAACATTGTCCAAAAAATCAAGTAATCCATTAATTGGGATTAGCAGATGTGCAACATGTATATCATCAGTAGCAAGACATGGTGCCAAATTTTTTGAATCTAATAAATTGAATCTTTATACATATTAACTTTTGCTGATTTTTTTTGTCTGAAAATAGATTTCTTGATATGCACAACTATTGTTCTGAGTTCATTTTAGGTAAAAAGGTAAAGAATCTGTCATCAGATTCATCATCTTCATTTTTTTTTACATCATCAAACTAATTATGTTTTAATTCTTTTTTGAAATATCCAATAGTGTGTTTGTGGAATGTGTGGAAAAATGGTAACACACATAACTTATATTCAAAAAAACTGCACAATTAAGAAAGTTTTAATATTTTACTTTGATTTCTCAAGTTTAAAATCTGTTTTTCAAACAAAACATTTCAACCAAGTAAGTAATCCTAGATACTCATATCACTTATTTTATCTCAAGTAGCATTCCATAGTCAATCCATTCCGTAAGCTTGAGTCCACAAAAAAAAGTTGAAAGAAAGACTACAAAATTTATAAAGAATCTGGTTGAACATACTGTTGATCTTGAGTTGTTGGAAGCAACTTAATAACAACATGTAGTACATATGGAATTGATGGCCTAGGTGCATAGAAACAGGTAAGTATTTACGTAGATATTTACCTACATATATACATACATATGTACCAACGACTTGAAAACTCAAAAGTTGTCGGGAGTATGAGTGGAGGGATATGTAATAGTGGAGGGATATGTAATTTTGGGATGGCGGGCCGGTCAGTGGTTCAGGATCAGGACTTTTCACTTCGAAGTCGAATTCAAAAACTTGCCTTCAACCTCCAACACAACTCAACCTCTTGAACAGTCAATAACTTCGACTTCGAACTTCACCATTGCAAGGTGGGGCCTGCTATGAATCAATTTGAGGCAAGCCCCCTTCCAGAAACCATCTTCATCACCTTTCAACCTGGGATACGACTCAAATCCTTCAACAACTTTGACTTCGAACTTCACCATTGGAAGGTGGGGCCTACTATGAATCAATTTGAAGCAAGCCCCCTTCCAGAAACCATCTTTGACCTTTCAAAATTCACTTGATCCGGAATCCAATTTAACTTCTTAATTACCTACTTTGAACCCTAGATTGTAAGCATCTCACCTCCGTTCAGATACTACATCCACTACACCTCATTCGAAGTTCCTTCTATGAGCTTCTATTGTCGCTGTTTGTCTCAGCAGCTCTGAACTGGTATTGATCTGTATGTACTAATTAAAATCCATCACTTGAAATCTACTGCTTTTGCCATTTGTGATTCCATCAATTCTCCAAACACAAATCCTCCCAAATCGCTGTTCCCTATCCTCCCTGTTTCTCTTCTACCTTTTCATCATTGCAAAGCCCTCTCAGTCTGATATTTATGCTGATAGGAGAGCACCAAATGATCAAATTGATCTAGAAAGTAAGTCTGATCTTGATAAACCCCTGCCTAAGAGCTGACTGATGTGATGCTTCCGACAACCTTGACAGAAATTCCCACAGTTGCTGAGTTAGCCACACAAACAAATTCTCCACTCTTGCAGGCCTCCGGATGTATCTTCAACTTCTTGGAGTAAGTGTTGATTCCTTCGAATTTCACTTCATTCAGTGATGATGAACTAGGGTCCTCATTTATGTACCCCAATCACCTGTAGCATTTGAACATGTCACAAGGTCTCTTGTCACTTCTGAGGTGATTGAACCTGAACACCCTGGTCTCCATCACTAGATTTCTTCAAGAAGCCTTCCGATTAAGACAAAATCGGGAATGGTAATGAATATCCCAGAGAACGACAGAGTAAGCCAAGTTTCATAACTGTCCATTTGATTAATTGGGTGACTGATGGATGATGCCTGCTAGGCACAACCTATTACAATGCCACGAGTGCCACACTCACCATTGGCTGCCTTGACACACTTCACAAGGGCAGACTCAAGAAGGTCAACGGCCTGTTCTAGAACGCATATCTGCAACTTCTTTATTTACAAATGTTGGTAATCTCTTGGATGAATCATTGACTGATCTTGATTCTGAGTCTAAAGCGTTTGAGACTTCTTATATCAACCTTCAATCTTCAAGCCAAGCTGAAGTTATGCTTGAAAATTTGGCTGTCTCTTCCAAGGTTGTCTCTCCAACAGGCGACTATTCACAATAACAAACCTGTTGTAGCAGTCGAAGCTAATGTTCCATCCCCCCTTGCGCCAGCGACCAAGGCATTAGAGTCTCGGGCTGATACTTTTCAATCATTGGATCGCGTTGAAGCTACAATCAAAACCTCCCATGTCATCTCCAAGAGTACCATCGAGCTCAGCAACCCAACTTTTGAAGACTCGTCTGAGACTTGAGCTCTCTTGGCCCCTGAAGATTCAAATTTACCCCCGGTGGCTGTTGAGTCCAATGTCTTACCCAGTATCGAGGCGCAGTATCAGGTGTTAGAGTCTCACGACTTGACCATTGGATTGACAAATGACAGCTCCAACGATGTTACCAAATCTGAGAATAAAGAATCTCCAACATCTGAAGATTCGACAAATCAGCTGATTACCTCAATAGTCGCAATCCTGATCCCCAGACCAAAGATACAATGCCACCATCAACATTCAATGCATGCAATCTAACGGTTACGAATCAAAAACCAAACCAACAATCGATCTGGTCAAATCTTTCTCCAACGGAACACATGCAGGATTCAAAGATCGACATACCAGAAGGAAGGCTGAAGTTATAGACCGAGTGGGTTTTGCTTAATCATACCTTCTCTTCAGTCTATTTTTCGTGATCCTAAAGGAGTCTTGACTACAGTTTTGTATGCATACATCTTTGACATATCTCCATAAGATTCAATTCGGGAGATGACTCGGTTGTTAAGAGCTATGAAACTCTTCTATCTTAAAAATATAATCCAGGAATGTATCAAATCTTGAAGCTAAACCAAAAAGGGGTTACCTCACTGCACATACATTACGATTGCTAATCTAAATCTGAGACGCCTTCACCGGCCTCGCCGGGGGCTGATAGGATATTTATCAAAATACCAATTCAATTTTTTTGCATTTCTCACTTAATAATTCTTATATCATAGCCGCACTGTGACACCATAAGATAGGATTCAATGAACTTGTGAGAGTATGACACTATAAGATCAGGAGGATCATATCATTTTCCTTCACTTTTTAATGCAAGTCTCATATCATATTTGCGACGCTCCTGGGGATCCAGCAAAGCATCACGTGCCCCTGACAACTGCAAACAAAGTTATATCAGGACCTATCCTGAAGGTGTGGATTAGTACGTGCTTTTCAAACAGATAACAACGTACATAAGACATTTCCATGTGACTTTTTGCATTCCCTCTGTCAGGGTGGATCATCAAGGCTCGGGATTTGTAGGCAGCACATATCTCTACATCAGTTGCACCTAGAGGGACTTGGAGGACCTGTAAGTTACAAAAGAACTTTAGCAGGGAGATTCTTCTTCTTCCTCAAGTATGTCAAAATTTTGGAGAAGCTTACTTCATAGTAATTCAACTTCTGAAGATCAGATTCTCGCTCTGATTCAATAACATTGTACAGTTTTCTTCATGCACCACCCACAAGGTTCAAAAGATCAGCTCAATTCAGATAACTAGTGATATATTGCTCTACAGTACCTGATTTTGATATCTTTATCATTCAATAGGAGGGAAGAGTTCAATCTCTTGGAGGCGTCTTCTAAATCATGCTTCACATATGCCATAAGACCGGTTATCCATAACTTCTCTTCTTTTGTCAACGAAGGCACCTTGGGATTGTCTGACACTGTTAACGCAACCCTGCATCAAATATTACAAATGTTAAGCTACCACGTCTTAATTGTTTCAAGACAAGGGAAAAAGCCTACACAACTTCCCCTTGAGCTTCAGTCAATTTCCCCAATCGTAAAAGTGCCTCACTCTTCCAATAAGACCAAATCGTGGGTAACGCCTCAGAAGCCATCTGAAAGCGAGAACTTTGTTCCCTCTGAACCTTGATGATTTTCTCAACCACATTTGTCCATTTCTCACATTCTCGATCGTATTGGATATCACATAAAGACTGATGTAAATAGTTTGCTTCTGCAAATAGCTTTGAAATCTTACCCCACCAAGGATGAGAAAAGGTTATGCTCAAAGGGCTGTCCCTGTTCCAACACGGCTCCAGTGCCTCCAATGCTTGATCCGGCTGAAGCATTGTCAGGAAACACTCCGCAAGAAATAAAGAAATGTGTAAATGTGAGGGTGTCAACCGTGTGTTGGAGTCCATAATTTCAGAGAACTTGCGCTGTGCGGTGTCATAATCAGCTGTAAGAAAAGCTGATAGTGCTTGGTGTGCAAGTCCTTTGAGTGCGTCCTCAACAGATCCCAGACCATGGTCAATTAATTGTTGGGTGCGGAATTGGCTGCTGTCCATGTTGTAAGGCTGGACATTGGCTGAGAATGGTTGCAGAGAGATAGGGGAAGTGGCTGGCGGATGTGTTTTATTGATTTTCCAGGTTGATGATGAGTGGGGCTTGGTAGTTGTACAATTGGATTTGCAAGCTGTAGTGTACATACATACGTCAGCATACATCCCTTTCAACATTAAGTTTGGTTATCATATGTAAGTGTGTATCATAGCTAAAGTCTGGCTTGCCACAAGTTTTGTAGTTTGCAGGAGAACAAACACCAAAAGAAGCATTTGGACATCCGGTGAGTATGTTATGACTGTCATCCATATCTTCTGTTGTTGTTATTATCTGACATTGAACTGTGAACTTTTTAGGAATGCCTGCCAAGGGAAACCCAGCCTTCAGAGGGGCCACGAGAGGTACTTCAAATGTGCCCTTGACTCAGACAGACCCGTTGACGAATTTTGCCCATGAGAATTTAGAGCAAGTTGGTCGAAAGCTTGTGAGTGATGATGTTCTACAGTGCACCCAATCAAGACGTAGAGTACTGAATTTAGGGATTCCTTTTTAGTTGGCTGATCATCATGATCTGGACGTGAGTTGACTGTGTATTCCTCTTTTTTGATATCAGTAGCTCACCATCCTGCTTTCTCACAGCAAAGATGCAACCTATCTTTTGTGCAAATAGATGCTTGGCTTTCCCAACAGCAGGTCAATGTGAAGTACCTTCAAGAAATTTTGGAAAAGCTCGAGGTGAACTACATCTCTGCACCTGCAGGAGTAAGATTGATTTGCCCAAGGCATATGAATACTGAAACATCTGATGCACTATGTCTAGAAAGATAGCAACACCACCAAAGAAATCGTTTCCAGACTTGTGGACCAAGGTGCTCAAAATGGACAAAAAACAACCCAATCACAGACCCATGCTCAGTCTCAATTGGCTTTACACACCAACTTAGCAGATACTATAGCCACAATTCAAAGCAAGGTGAGGCTTGGAATATCTCATATGTGGGAAGTATACATATCTGGTTCAATCAACTGACTATGTTTGTGTTTTTTAGATTCAATGTTTACATCAAGAGGCTCGGCGAGAAGTTTTGAACCCATTAGAGTTTGAACGCACCAATATAGTTCAGACAGTCATCAAGAAACTTGGGGTTCATGGTATTTTGGAGAAAACTCTACAAACATTGCGGGGTGAAATTCAAGAGTTTATGAGGGGTGCTTGTGCTCATGTTTGTAAAACAAAACTCACTAGTGATGACCAGAATCTTTTGAAACTTTCTTTCTCTGAGGTTATCAACATATTTGCTAGGTTCGGGAAAGCAGCAAAACAAAAATACATAATGAAACTAAACATTACAAAGAACAGTATACAAAAGACCTTGAAGCCCAGCTAGGTAAGATCCATGCTATCGTGACTAACAATCATCAACTGCAAAACCAGTTGCAAGGCAAGGTACTTCCATTTTGAGTTTTCTATACCGGATGGTCAACATAACATAAGCTCAGTATCACCATTTTGTTTTACATCTTAGTTGATCCAGGAATGTCAACATGAGCTTGACGGTAGGTTGAAGTGTGAATTTCAAAATCTTGAGAATCATTACAACCAAGGAAACCTGAAAGTTAGTCATAAGTCATCCTTCTGCAGTGATTCACACATAGTTTGATTTCTGACTGCAAGATCATTTTAAAACTAAAACGTGCATGAACCAGTTGCAAGCACAAATAGATGAATTCCAGAAGATAGTTGACAAGTACAAAGTGAACATAAAATCCAGTACCCTGGAGGAAATTCAACAATTTGAAGAAAAAATTATATCAGATATGCGCAAACAACACAGACAAGATGCTGAGGGACTGAGGGGAAAAGTATTGCAGAGTTTATCTTCATTCTGGCTTCTGCATGTACTCATAAACATGCCCCTTATTACCTTTTCCTGTCTCAGTTGAGTTCAATACAAAAGGATCTGGCGGATGGTGCAGATATAGCAGAGAAAAATGATAGGGATCTTCAAAAGGTGAATGTTTCAAAGATAAATCCATATCTCAACTCTTCTTGCTTGTTCTGAAACTTTCTGCTAGGCTTAAACACGACTATCTGAGCTACACGATTTGATTGCATTGGAGGCAGAGCACCATGCCAACCCCAACAACCAGCACAAGAAAAGCAAGCCCCAAATGGAGGCACTGCACAATGTATGCCAGCTTTTCTCAAATCATGACGATGAAATCACAATTAGCTTACACCTTTTTCCGCCTGCGTTATGTGTGGGGTGCAGCTCATTAGATGCGAGGTGGAGGCATTGGTAGCTTTGCGTGGCCGTCAGCAGCCGCCTGATGTTCAGCAGGACCAGCATATGGTTGATGTTGAACACACTGACACAAGGCAACCAAATCTGGGTGACAATACCAAACAAAATTCTGCCGTCATGGAAAAAATGAGCAGCATTCTTGCAGCATGCAACAATCTTGCACAAAGCTGATCTCCCGGATGTATAAATTATACTAGAGAACAGGCAGACATGCCTGCAATGGATGAAATACACCTCATTGTCTCTTGATTACTCACACCAACTATCTTGTAGAGTGCCATAGCATGATCCACCAATTGAAAAATCAAAGTATACAGTGACATGGTATATTGATACATCACATCATGTTCTTTGCTTTGTCTTCTAGAATAGAATTTGATTTTCATTAATTTTGAGAAAAGTAAAACAAACCACAAAAAAAGAGTCAAGAAAGACTACTAAACTCACGGATGAAAATTAAAAATGTAAAATTGTTCCTTTTTTTGTATGCAAATTGTCTGATGTGTAATAAAAAAAACCTTTACAAAAATTAATGTCTTTTTAATAAACTTGAAATAAAGTAAGTTTAAAGAAATGTAAACAAATTTAACAGAATGAAAAAAATTGTATAGATCAGATTTCAAACCCCCCCTTCTCTGATTGTTACATTTTTTTCTGAAAATAAAGACAAACTATACGAAACTAACAATGTATATATTTATCAGATTTTGATTTTTTGATTTTTTGATTTCATTTTTTTCTTGATGATAGGAAGAAAACACAAAATTCAAGGGATTTCATCAAATTTGAATGATCCTATTCCATACCTGGAATTCAAGTTTTTTTGGTTTCATATGTATATGTACCCATAGAATCATGAATCCAGTTTCATAACTATTGAGATTGGCTTCTGATCATCTATAATGTGAGGATTCTCATTGATCAAAAGATACCAAGGACTTGTGATCTGTATATATACTCAATTAACTGTAGTTGAAACTTGTAAGTGATCCATGTTCTTGATCATTACTCCTACACTCATTTTGATATTTTCAATTTCTCAATTTTCAAGTGGGGTTCAGAAGCGGAGTGAAGGACAAAGTGAAGGTTGAAGTCAGATCGGAGATCGAAGTCAAAGTGGAGGTGTAGGTCAAACTGCAGGTTGTGGTCGAAGGCGAGGTGCAGGTCAAACTGCAGGTCATGGTCGAAGTTGAATTCAGGGTGTACGTCAAACATGGTCGAAGTCGAGGTCAAATTTGAGGTGCAGGTCGAAGTCAGATTGAAGGAAGTTGAGGTTGAGGTCAAATTTGAAGTAGGTTGAAGTGCAGGTCGAAGCCCAAGTGGAGGTCAAAGTCAAGATCCAAGTCAAATTTCTGTGTACATAAGTTTTCAATTTTTAATCTTTGATTCCTAAGCTTAAAGTTTTAGTTTTGATTGTTGTGTTTTGTTTTGTGATGTTTCTAATTTCTGACTTGTGAAGGTCTAAGTCAAGGTGGAGGTCGAAGCCGGATTGAAGGTCGAAGTTGAAGTGCAGGTTGAAGTTGAAGTCAAGGTGGATGTGGAAGTGCAGGTCGAAGTCGGATAGTTCAGATTGGAGGTCGAAGTTGGATAGTTCGGATTGGAGGTTGAAGTCGGATAGTTCGGATTGGAGGTCAAAGTCAAAGTGTAGGTGCAGGTCGAAGTGCAGGTCAAGGTCGAAGAAGTTCAAGTCTGAGACATACACATATGTAAGTTTTTATTTTTTAATCTTTAATTCCCAACCTTGAAGCTTTAGTTTTTCATTTTTATGTTTTGATTTGTAATGTGTAATTTCTGACTTTTAGGTCTTGTATTTTGGTTTCTGACCTCTAGTATCAGACTTTTTATTTTTAAGATTTAATTTTTGGGCCTTAATTTTCAAGTATGAATTTAAGAGTTTTAAGCTTAAGCTTTTAATTTTTGGCTTTTAATTTTGTGGCTTCAATTTTCAATTACACAATTCACGAGGAAACCTCGGTCAGCAAGGTCCGAGGTTTTCCTTACCCTTGGATTCTTCACACTTGATATCTCCTCGAACTAATCTGACCGAGGTTTATTGAACTCGGACAAGACCCACCAATGATATAATTTCATCAGGCTATACGGTCCGCCTATATTGTAACTCGGGTAAGTCTTACCATATTAAACTCGGAAAGGACTTTCTGATGTTAATCCACAATATTGCCTTGGACAAAATTTGTCTGATGGTATATATCATCGATCGTGTGCAGCCGAGTTTGACTCGGAGCAATGATTTCCTCGGTACCAAAATGCCCAAGATATCCTTGCACATATCTCTGTCCGATGTTACATCGAACATTTACCTCGATACACAATTATCCGATGATTCCTCGGACACACATACCCGCTGTTAACTCGGATACTCGTATCCAAGGATATTATGCCGGCGGTGCCACAGCCCCCAACTACTGGTCACTGGCAGGCCAGTACATCCAATGTCTCCAAGATGTTTTCAACAAAACTTCAATTTGTTTTCAGCATAACATCCATCTGCTATCAAGATGTTTCTGGGTCAGTTACCAGCAAAATATGTCATACCACCAAAATTGAGATGATGTCATACAGCATCATAAATCTGTACAAACCTGCTCCTGTATTTCCCCACCAAGAATATATAGTTTATTAACCTTTGTGACATAAATTGACTGAGTTATTGAGGTTCAAAAAAAATCACGGACAAAAGATACTATTTTTGTACTATACTTAAGTATTGATCCTGGAATATCTTCCAGCTTCATCAATATACATACACACAAAAATTGATACTCCTTTGAAAATATGTTTCCCCACATTTTTGTCCTCTAAAGCCTTCCTGTATGGGCAGTATTTCTATATGTAATTGTGGTGTGTACATGAGCAGTTAACATTTTAATTGATTCTTTGATTCTAGGCAGGATATGGCAAATGTTTTGGCATAAATCTTGGTAAAATACCATTCATATGTATATCAATCAAACTCAGAATGATTTTGGCAATATTTCCCTCAAATTTGTCTAGGGGCAAAGAACTTCAGAAACTCAAACTTGCGGACACATTCAGGAATTACATGTAGAAATACTGCACATACAGGAAGGCTTCAGGGGACAAATATGTGGAGAAACATATTTTCAAAAAGATTATCAATTTTTTTGTATGTATATTCATAAAGCTGGAAGATATTCCAGAATTAGTTCTTAGGTATAGTACAAAAATAGTATTTTTTGTCAGTGATTTTTTTTTCAAACCTCAATAACTCAGTCAATTTATGTCACAAAGGTTAATAAACTATATATTCCTGGTGGGGAAATACAGGAGCAGGTTTGTACAGATTTATGATACTGTATGACATCAGCTCAGCTACAATATGTGAATCTTCTAATCTTGAATGAATTTGGTGGTGCTATCTTTTGTTCAATTGGTTTTGAATGTAATTACCTGGTTGCATCAAGATTAGAAACAAGTCCAAGGACAGACTGTCTCATGAGGTTTTGCTTAGCCATGATGTGGTTGGTTAGTTGATCGGTTGATTGAGCTGGAGAGACTTGTGATGCAGTTTGTGAATTGTACTTGTGGTTCAATCAACCTTTGAAGTGTGACCAATTGGGTTGGTGATACTTGTAAATGTGGATTTGGTCTTGAACCGCTTCATACTGCTCTGAGTGATGGCTGCAGCGCGTAAATTTGACTTGCTGTGCTAACATCCCAATCCGCTATGTGCATACTCTCAGGAAGAGAGCGGTGGCGGATCAGTTGGGAGCTGAACCCCCAAAAAAATTGTAGCAACAGCGGGGCGGTCTGCCCCGTAGCCGCCCCGCGCTCACTTTTTGTAGCGGGTTGCTTCAAGTGTTGGTTGGATCGAGGAGACTGCATTGCAATGCACAATGGCCTGTCAATGTGCTGGGGTGCGTTTACATCAGGCCAATTTTATTTCTGAGCTGTGGATGCAAATACCTTTGGCACATTAAATCCAGCCAAATCATGACCTTAGCTCATTGGGAGTTATACATGAAGAAATCATAGCTTGGACAAAATTCATTGCAAATGTCAACCAGAGATTTCAAGAGATCAACCATGTAGTAATTTGATTTTTGTCTCAATTTTGTTTGAATCTTGCAACCATGAATTGTCCAACTTGATTTTATAAGATTCTGTATTAGGATGCCCTTGATTGTGATCAATCATGGATCACAAAAGAACTTATTGGGGATGAAAAATATTTTATATCAGTCATTCTATCCATGTTGATGAAGTGAGAAATATAGTAACATAGTAATTTTCATAGATCTTTATTGCATCAAAAACACTTGAAAGCTCTGGTGGGTACGGAGCACAAAAAAGAGGTGCCTGCCGCCCAATTGGCTAGTCTTGTTTACCTCTCCACACCATGTGTTGGGGACCTCTATTTCTCAACAAGCTTATCAGTATCTCAAGTAGGATCATTGATTAATGGTTGTCTTATTGAATCACTTGATCTCCATCCAGTAATACAAGCTGTGACCCATGCGCACCCCAAAAGACTTAGGTGCTTCAGAATATTGAGTTCATCTTGATTGCTTTGAAGTCTGAGGATTCATAAAGTATAAATATTGAAATGCATGGCACTGAGAATTCATATAGATCAAATGATAAATCATACCCATATGTATAAGAAAGATTCCAGGACAGCTCCACTGTCCCATCTGACTGGCTTAGTTATTTGGATTGGTCTCAGATCTTTGTCAATGTCAAGCGTAGGGATCAAACCCGGGGGACATTTGCAGTAAAGTTGCTTGGGGGTTCCAATCACCTCTTTGACCATGAGATGACTGTAAAATTGAATGTACCTATTTGGCAAGGTGTTTTAGAAATCAGGTCAAACAGTTATCTCATTCCATCTGATATACACAGCTCACATCTCCTGTCAAAATTTGTACTCTTGGACATATACCCAGATCTATCAGAACAAGGTGGCCTTTTAAGATGACAAATAACTTGTTCCCTATTTCCCACTTCAGATAATGCTGCCTGGAATATGATTTTTGTATGATGGGGTCATAGACCCATTGATAGTTGTGCTTTTGATTCTAGATGGTTTGATTTAAACAAATAGACTATAAACACATATGTTGAACAAAAGTCATCAACTTGTGTTGAAAGCATCATAAGTGCAAAAATATTTTGTTTACAATGGTGTAAACCATAAAATGCCATAACAATGACTTGTGATGAAATGCATGTTGTCAATGGCATCCACACCAACCAAATACTTTCTAACTGAAACATAAAAAGCATCATCTTCAATACTATAATGCTGAATATACAATACTTTTGCTCACATGTTGGATGACATACAAAAAAAATGACCAGTGTTTCTGGGGCCCCATCAAACAATTCTACCAGATACATAAGGTATGTGTCCAACCGGGAAGCGGGTGAAAATTTTCATTCATCCATTCACTGTCTCAAAAATTGACAGATGGTTCAAAATTCCAATACTTCCCTGCAACCAACCATCTTGCCTTTCAGGCAAAGCAAAGAAGCCTTCAATACCTCAGATGAACCATGCCTGGGACCCACCTCCTTCCAGAAAGCTTGACTGTCTCTCCTTCAGCCGTACAGTACCACATCTCCACACCACTGTCTGTTGTCACTGCATTCCAGAACATGGAAATCGGGGTGTTAAACTGGTTCACTGCAGTAGATGTTCAGTTGGGTATCTACTCCTTACTGGAACACCTCTGATTTGGGGACCATGCCGTGCCAAGGGGATTAGAAGCTCACCACCAGATGAGACCCAATTCCCCCAACGTAATGTGGAAAAAATGTTGAGGTGTGCAATTGACACAGACAAGACAATTATTTTAAATTGCATCAAGAATTAAAATGACATCATAGGTTAACAAAGAAAATTACACAATTGATTACCCCAATGTGATTGACCTACAATTCCTTATAACAGTTATTAACCAATTCTAGTTTTACTTTTCATCCCCATCTTTGGGAAGAGAAATAAGGAATTTTAGACTTTTGAATCATTTCATACTATAACATTAATACTGTGTTTTCTTTTATGTTTTCTCTTATAATCAATATTTTAGTTCTTCAGAGATCAGTTATCTAAGTCAATCACTTATAACTAATCATATTATTATCTGTACCTTGTTATAGGTACTTAGACTATCTCATTATTTGATCAAACATTTCACATTTCTTTATGTTCTAATCAAGTTGTTTACATTATTAGGTCAGAGTCACTGTTTGAACAACTTGTATTTGATGTTGTGCTGATACACTGAAGAGCTTACTATTAGAATATAATAAACTCTTTGGGAAGAGAATTCTTCAGAGATCAGTTATCTAAGTCAACAACTTATGCATAATCATATTATTATCCATACATGGTTATAGGTCAGAGTCACTGTTTGAACAACTTGTAGTTGATCTTGTGCTGATGTGCTGAAGAGCTTACTATTAGATCTCTGATAGAAAACTTCTGGACATTCTCAAAGAACCTCATTGCTGGTATCAAACCCAGGTGTCAAACAACCTTGAATGTCCAATACCTATGTTGAACCACCTCAAATCAATTGTCCTTCACCAACTCAATTTCACCTGGACCATCCAGGGCCTCCGCTTCCCAGTATGACCTTGCCAGTGAACAAGAATCAGAAGATTGGGGCGGCAGTTTTGCATGGACAGTGCCAAAACCCATAAAGCCGGTTCCATCAGTTCTGACGGGGGGAAGTGCTCAGACAACACCAGGTGGATTTTCAGCCCGTCAATTTTCTTGTGGTCTCAATGTCACTGCTTGGCTTGTAATTTTCACTGCACCTGTCAAATTTGCACACAATAATGGAGTCGGGACATACTCCAACATCATCAATGTTTCAGATAACAGTTGGCCAGACTGTTTTGGTAGAGCTGCCTGGGCTGCCATTGCACAATACTGCCACAGCATTAATTTTCCATTACCCAATTTGTGCCACCTACAATACATATAAATTTTATCACTGGCCTTTTTGGACAAGTACATATCAATTGGTGTTGGAAAAGACCACATGTCATATGATCAAATCCAAACATATGTCCACAATTGGGCTAACCACAAATCTACGGTTGGACCTGCAGCAAAGTGTAACATTAGCTCAATTTTCACCCTCACATTTTACCAGAAATCAGTTACATCTCACAAATATGATAGGTTGTCTTCAATATCCATGCATATGACTTTGAAGGAGTACCTTCAAGATGAGCCTGAGTATGGAAATATTGTCACCAAAAAACAAATAACCACCACAGGTCAAAACTCAAGGCTGATTAAATTTATATTCAGGTGTCTACAAAGACAATGATGAATTTGAGCGGGTTCAAGACACCCTTTGACTATCACTTCAAGAAACCAAAAGAACACCATACCTGCTCCAATCTAATGCATCCAGCGACATAAGTGTCACTTCAAACAGCTCTAAGATTCCCACATGGTGGTGCAACCCTTCAAACTACACCCTACCACTCTGGGGTTCTATTCCCGATTTTGATGTCACCCAGGATGGTGAAGAACCACAGGAAAGCCACCCTGTTGTCAAAGACATGTTGTTTCTTTCTGAAATTGCTGGCTAGTATGTTTTGAAATCTTAGAGAAGTCAAAGAGATGCAAGGATCTGGAATAGGACTCTTTCACTCTGGACAGATTTACAATCTTCGGAAAATGAGATCCCTGCCTTCCATTTCTTGGAGAAATTGAAATTCCTGTCTCCACTACCTGGGCAAATCCACACGTGTTACACTGGAAGAACATCATTTTACTTGCTTTGCACTTTGAACCTGTAGCTCAGGAACCAAACATAAGCTTTGGATTTCCTTCAAAATGTGACCCAATGTTTTTCTTCAACAGGCAGAGATATAAATTGAACCTTGGCGGGCAAGCTTCCATTCCAACAAATTAGTGACATATTCCCTTCCAGTAATTGGAAGATCAAAACAGTGGGCAAATCCTATTTGAAGGTTACATCATGTTGCCAGACAGCACTTGAAAGGGACCGCTCTGTTGAAATACCTGGAGGAGTGCCAGATGAATATCCATGCGGCAAAACTTCTTACTGGATTCCATAACTTTGTAGCTGGACATCCTGGGGTACCTGTTCCTCTTGCTCAGCTCATTGAAAATTTGAGGACAGCCATAAAATTACCGATTATAGTATAAGTAAAGTACACTGATCATACCGGGTTTGTTTCTAGGTGGGTTTAATCGACATAGTTTCCAAGAATGCAATTGCATCACCCTTGCCTAAAGACATGTGGGCCATTGAGACAGCCCAGAACAAGAATCCCAAGAAATATGTTAGCCAAAGTTCAAAACTCCACGCTCTACTCTATCATGGGCCCTCCAAGCTTGGTCTCACTAGAAATTTCTTCTGTACAAAGGCAAAGCTTTGTTCAGTGAAATATCTGCAGACAGACACCTTCTCTCAGGATTCCAGATGGTGGACCACAAGTTTGTCATTTTGAAATGGTTGTCTTGCTGTGTATTTTAGTCCCAAGACGTGGTGGTCAGCCAAAAACACAAGGGAGAAGGGCAAATGGGTCTTTGAATATTTGCATGTGTGCTATCCATTGTGTGAAGCAATAGGGTTACTTCCAGTACATTGAAGAGCACATAGACCAATGGTTAGAGAAATGGGGATATGGGAAGTATGGATCCAAATCCCATGCAAGGGGGGATGAAGCAGATTTTGATGATGGGGTGTCAGATATGATCTGTTTGACTCAAGTCAGTTGTTCTTTGGTTCATTGTTGAACTTTCATCATGCCAAATAAAGAAGACTATGTTCAGAAGTACGGATTTTTCTGTCTGTTTAGACGCAGAGGTTATTATTATATTGGTTGTGTGTAGGGCTGCAGTGTTTGTTGTCTGTTTTAGTCAAAGATGTTGCATCTGAAGACTTGATCCTGTCAGAATACAATGCTTTTTTGACAAGTTATATATCTCAATAACAATATACTTGTATAGTTGGTTGATAACATGAACAATGTGTTTATTGTTTTTAGCACCCTGCTGTCCAACAAATATTTGTTTTTAATAGTTTAAGCAAACTTATAATGATAGATCAAGCAAAAAACCAGGGAGTTCACTGATTTTGGCGCACCGCCTTCCAGCAAACCTTGCAGGCAAGAGAAACAATTATTAGAAGTAGATATCAGGTTCATCAATGTTGGCACACTGCCATTTGACCAACTCTAACTGATTGGGGATGTTTTGAGAAGATGTGGGCAATTTTCGAGGGGTATTTATATTGTTTGAGAAACACAGGCCCAGCCAGAACCAAAACCGGTAGTAGGCAAGGTTTTTTTTGAATGGAGTGAAATCACTTTCTTTGACTTTTTGATTTTTTACCTTTGGGTGAAAACACTTATTTGAGACTTTTTGATGGGAGTATCTAGAAAAGTTTTAGAGTTGTAATCTAACATAAAAAACTATGACTTTCTGCAACTGTTGCTTAATTCATGCTCCAATTCTGTTTCTCAGCTGGCTACTGTTCCTTCCGTGTCACACCAACACCCAAGGCGGAGCAACCCTGACACCTATCAACTACAAAACAGCACTTCAAAGGCTACTCCAATCCTATTTGCTTGCAGCACCTCCTCATCAGACCCTCACCAGGTCAGTACAATGCAACTCGCCTACTTCCTCTTCACAACGGTGACCAACAACTCTTGCTGCCAAGGTGTTACTTTGCTTCAAGATCTCTCATATCCAGTCACTCACAGTACTATGCATCAACATCCTACCCAGCCTACCAAATTGCACTGCTTTTCCCAACCCTTGATCCATACAAATGCTACCCTTGCGCTTGCATCAACTAGCCTCCTTGCCAAGGTTCACAATGCTGGACCCTTCACATGCTTGGCTGCACCTTTCAATTGCCCGCTGGACATTGTACCTTTGCTACAAATCCATTCTCTGTCTGCCTCTTGCCACTCTGCCCTCACTACTAGCCCTGTTGACTTATATCAAGCAGGGAGCTCAACCAACTCTTCCACTCAAACTGAGTTTGGAGTCCCTCTTCTTTCACGTCATTTATGTAGGTGAGTTGGTTTTCTACATACTTCTATCATCCTATCAGCCATCTAATAAGTATTTGTTTTGAAGTTGACTCATTAGGGCATGCTGCACCTTCTCACCTTAGTGGATAATCCGACCTGCTTTGTCTCTTCAAAGTATCTTACATGTACAATAAATTTCTTTGAGCACTTCTAAAACTGACGGACCCAGCTATCATATCAAAATCAAAATCAAGACCGAAGTGATTTATTTCAACTATCATATCAAAATCAAAATAAATAGGTAGGTGATTAATGCAATATTATTCTATCAACATTGCTAATGTGATCTGCTTGACTGTTTTCCAAATATCATAGAAGCAATCAGTCTCTTCAACTAATAATGAGCCTGTCACCCAATTTTCAGTATCTCCCTCACCTGAAACAATTTCAATGGAACCATCAGCTTCATTTTGTTCACCACTTCCAAGCACTACTACAAACAATAAAAATACATTGCCAGCAGTTGTGATCTCTGTGATTGTAGGAAGTGTGATTTGATTTCTTATAGTTATAGGATTTTTAGAAGATTGTCTTCAAAAACATTGTTCAACTTCAAGTAATTTATCAATCAACGGGGACCCGTTCAGCTGGTTTAGCCAAAAAGCATTACACAAGAACGCTTTTTCAATTTGCCCCCTTTTCATGGGGCGGAATGAAAAACTTGAAATTTGGTTTTTTGATTACCAAACACTCAACTGCAGAGCTCATCGAAAAGTTGAAATACAGGGGCAAATAAGGGCAAAAAGTCTTTTTGGTCTCAAAAACAGCCTCAAGGCTGTTTTTCAAAATTGACGAGTTTTTGATCAAAAACGGTTTTTGTTTTTGATGAAACAAAGTTACCAAACGCCGGTGTTTTTGATGAAGATCAAAAACTGTTTTGACCCAAAAACGGTTTTTGGCTTTGGTGGCGTTTTTGGGTTCCAGCCAAACGGGCCCTAGTAGTATGAATACAACTACTGCAAGTACCACTATACCTTCTTTTGGATATGATTTTTCATCTGATTCATTAATGACGAGTAATGATCAAACCAGATCACAAAGTCATCAATATCATTCAAAAGCAAGTTTAGCTGGACATTTGCTTTATCATACAAATCATGAAAACAAATATTGTCATGTAAAAGAACAGCTCTTGGATTTGGGCTCATGTGCTATGGGAGTCAGTCTTACATAAATTTTTGCTTCTTTGTTGTTATCCATAAAAGAAAAGGTCTAGGCTAGATATAAACCAATAACAACTTGATTTTTTTCAAGTTCTAACCATTTCAGTTCTTGACTTTGTGTGTCCTGCATGTTTCCATTTTCCACAAAAAAGTTTCATTTTGACAAAAGTTCAGTCCAAAGATTGATAATAGAATTGAAGGATAGCAAAAATGGACTACTACACCCAAATTCCATCTTGTTTTCTCTTATCTTGTGATCCAATATTTGTCCCTTCGGCTGTTTTCCCTACATATTCTGATTTTTCCATAATGCCACCTTCAACTACTACTCCTGCTCCTATCACTAATAAAGCAATCAAAACAACCCAAAAATATTCAAACCAATTAGAATTCAACGGGTGGTGGTATTGCATCAAAATTTTGAATTCAATTTTCGCAACATGAGCAAATTTGATGATCCAATCTGTCTTATTTGAACTTTTTTCTTGATATGTCTCTTTATCAGCATAAGAGATGTATACAAGGAGAACAGGAACAGCCAAAATAGGCACACCCTCAAATTTACCAAATTATCTACCATTTAAATCAAATGATTGTTTAACACAACAATGAAGAAATGTGGAGAATGAAAATTGTACAAATGATATAAACCTGTCAAAAGAAGAAGATCTTGCCCAAAATGAATGTGAAAACATTTGAAAGAAAGTTTACCTATCTTAATATTGCAATTCAATTCATGATTATGTAATTTGTTCCTTTGAGTTGTGTTTTTTGTGATTTTAATTGTTGGTTTCTAAAAACATGTGGACAGAACGTGCAAATAAGCGCACTGCCACTGTCAATTTGAAAGAAATGAAAGTGCTTACCAAACTTTCCCACCTTGACCCAACCCTTATTGGAGTCCAGCCTGTTTTATTCTCACATGAGTGACATTGCTGTAAGGCTCAGATGCGTGAGAGCCTTCACTAGTCACAAAAGGTAGCTCGAGAAGCCCAAAACTACCTATAAAACCCGTCAATCTATATTCCAAAGATAACCTGGCTCCAAGTGGAGAGTTCTCCTCCTATCAGCAACCTAATCTAACCAAAGTACAATAGATGAGAAAAGAGATAACAAGATAAAGAAAGGCTCACCTGGCTCCAAGTGGAGAGTTCTCCTGAGGAAAGGGAACTCTGGAGCCAGGGCACTGAATACAAGTAATACTACTAGCTACTGTCTAAACCCATACAACTATGTGTTCTGCGCTACCTGTAAGGGTACGCCCTTACACCCTCCCCCTCTAAGAAAAATTGAGTCTAGTCTGTTAGGCTAACAAAAGAAAAGAAAGAAGCAAAAAGGAAAAAAAATGGCATAACTCGCCCCACAAATTGAATATTTTAATGAAAAGAGAAAAGAAAACTATAACAGAAACAAAGAAACATAACAGAGAAGAAAAAGAAAAAGAGAAAAAGGAAAAGAAAAGAAGCCTGAAGTCAATTTGCTACTTGATGAATGTCGTGTCGTTTGAAGATCGTCATTGCCGCCGTCGCCACTGGTATAAAGAGGTAAACCAAAGATGTTGTGCTCACAGCGTGGCCTTGGAGTTGTTTTATACGAGTGTAGAGGGTAGCGGCGGTGCATACTAGGAGAGGAACTTACTTTTGGACAGTAGTCCCCAACATGGCCTCATCCTCATTGTCCGTCTTGTATGCTTTGAGTTTGGAAATGTGAAAGATTGGGTGACTCTTGTTGTCTTCTGGCAATTCAACCTCCTAATTTCGTCCGTCGTTGATTACCGTCTTGACTCGATAAGGACCATCGTAGCGTGCACGCAGCTTTGTCACCCCCGACCTCTTCCTCCCACCACCTGTTGTCTATCATGACTATCCACAAGCACCCAGTCTCCTACCTCCAACTGATTGCCTCCTTGTCGCCGCTTGTTGTATTGAAGGGCTTGATCCACCCGACTTAACCATAATTTGTCCCTCCAGGTTGCCCAGTCCGACCTCCTCTTCTCTACCCACTTGTGAGCATCGGTTTCCAAAGGTCCGGCTGGTGCTTTGGTCGGGAATAATCGAGGACGTCGCCCAAGGACAAATTCGAATGGGGATATCCCTGTCGCCGAGTTGACCGCTGAGTTCATCGCGTATTCCACCGCTGGAAGGGAATCCAACCATTTGCTGTGTCGGGTACTAGCTAGATGTCGGAGGATTTGGCCGAGAGTTTTATTGGAGCGTTCACTACGGCCATCCGCTTGTGGATGGTAGGCTGTCGATAATTGAACCTTGACACTCAGTTGATTATTGAGTTGTTGCCAGAACCGTGAGACCCAGATTTTGTCTCGGTCACCAATCATGGATGTTGGAGCTCCAAAGATTGCTAACCATGCCGCAAATACACGACGAGCGGTCCTTTCAGCGTTGTCCTTTTGTGATACTGGAATCAAACGTACAAATCCCGACAATCTACAAGTAACTAGCGGATCAGCGGCGGGCGCCGCGGCTAGATGCATTGCTCAATTTCGAGTTGCAATCCTGCAGTGCTCTTTAGT